TATATATATATATATATATCATAAAAAGTAACATCTTTATAATTAAATTGTTATTTTATGACATCAACATACTTTTATATAAACTAGGTGTAAGACACATGTATTACACGAGTTAATTAAATAAATTAAATATAAATGTGTAAATATTTAAGAACTTTGGATTTATAAGAAAATAAGAAAAATAATGAATTATTAAAATTGATTTTTTATCATTCAAATTTAAATAAATAAACAAAATAAATAATGAGTTTTAATTGGGAATTTTGATATTAATGAAATTGATATTCATTTGATAATTTATTAAAATAAAAAAACTCATAAAATGATATATATGAAAAAGAAATTAATTCAAAATAACCACAAAATGATATTTGACAAATTGAATAATAATATGATATTTGCCAATATATATATATATATATATATATATATATATATATATATATATATATATATATATATATATATATATATATATATATATATATATATATATATATATATATATATATATATATATATATTAGAGTAGATTTTTTAACGGTTTGATTTGTTTCCATAACAAATTTAGTTACTACCTAAATTAAAATGCGAACAATGTAAACTTTTTCATATTGAAAAAAAGAGTTAGTTTTGTTTCATATTTTAGTTTTGTTTGATATTGGCCCATAATGTATTTTTTGTAGAAAACATTCAAAATATTTGTGTATTGTTGTTCATGTAACCATGTGACTTGGGTGATTGGCCAAGCCCAAATTTAGAAGCACCATGTATCTGATCAGTTTAGAATTTAGATAATGTTATTCGGATATTTTAGTTTCTTCCAATAGATGAAATTATAAGTTGAAATGAGACAGTAGCCAACAAGGGCAGAAACTAATTAAGGGAAAAACAAAGAGATGAGAGTATTTTGGTAAGTAAAAAGTATTTTTCAAAAATAACTTAACCAAACCTTCGTAGTCATCATATTTACCATGTTTGGTTATAAAATATGATGATGATTGTGAAATCGGCAACAAATAATGTAGAAGTGGACGACTCATAGTGCATATTTATATATTAAAAAAAAAGGACACTTTACTACATAATTTGAGAAAAAATTCAATTCATTGCATAAATTCCATCTAAACTTATACATTATTTATATATACAACTTGGTCATTGTTAGGCATGTCAAACCCAACAGATAATAGGGGTACAACAGATTCCAAATATACTATTTTCATGTACTAAAAAGTAGTAAAAAGCAAGCAGGATCGAATCACAAAGACACGGGATAAAAGTTCATACCTCTTTGCGCAAGGTACTTTGATCGCAAAAGGGGGATTTGTTTACAAAAGTGAAATAATAAAATAACAATCTACTTTAAAAACATGCACAAAATGAAATACATTTGTAAACAAGTTGTAAAAGTGTTTCCCATTCTAATTCTCAATGTTGTTGTTCAACTTGATTATAACTTTATGTAATTCAAGATTGCTATTCTAAGTTGGTACTGAAAGATATTAACACGCTCTAATACCTCTCGCTTGCCAAATTATCTAACCAAAACACGCTCTTTGACTAGACCTAGCTTTACTAATTCAACCTAAACACACTCTTAGATTGTATCGAAAAACTGCATTAAGTTTTGTACAAGCTTCCCAACAATGTTCATTTCTTCTCGTACGCTCGGAAGTGTGAAAACATGTGATAAATGTTCTACAATAAAAAAAACCTATTGTTTGTTACCAATCATTAACCTTATAGAACGATTAAGTGCCCTACAAGTTAATTAACTGCACAAAAATTCAATTCATGAAAGTGGCCAATCAAACATAAATCAAATTTAAGAGTTCTAGTTTAAACAAAAACATAATCACTATAATAGAATCACAAATCAAACATCAAATCATATGTTTCAAGTCAAACAATCAACATGTTTTGAACAAGAACTAGAAACTAGGGTTTCTTAGCCGCACATGACTAAGAACAAATCAAACAAGAATAAAGATGAAATTAAAATGTTTAATGCTTGCTAAAATGAAATCGAAAGTATTTTCAATGATTAGGTCTTCTCAAAAACTCCAAGAAATCTCTTAGAATCACCCAAGATCGCCCCAAACTGCTCCAAAAAACGTTCTACCATTCAAAATGACGTTCTTGTGTTTTTAATTAAAGTTCACGTGCTTTCCATAAAACCATGTGTTTTTGGCATGGCCATGCCTTTTGCGCATGTGTTTTTGGCATGGCCATTTGTCTTGACCATGTGTTTTTAGCATGGCCCATGCTTTTTGCTAGAATTCCAAAAGTCTTCACTGTTGGCTCCATCTTTAATCTAGCTTCACCACAACTCATGTTGCTCAAATATAATATGACAAAGGACAAACACGACCCGTATCTGTGTGACAAAAATCGCGTTTCAAACATAGTCCTTTGCTATGATAATAATGCACAATGACTCGGGTTCCATCTTCATGTTTTCTGCCATGGAATGACCAGTTCATCTTCTCCTCGTACTCTAAAGCTTCAAGCATCCAAGCTCCACGTTCCATGCTCCATAATATCTGCAAAATAAATAAAAAATGATGAAGTACCAGGCATTCTTAATGAAATATGCAATTAACTAAATACAAGAATTATGAAATAGAATGCTATAAAATAACAAAAATGACATGCAAAATAGGTGCATAAAATGCACCTATCAGTCACCACCTTATAGTAAAAGCTCCCTAAAATAAGATTAAAAGATTTAATCAACTAATTAAATTGATAAAAAAAAATCCAAAATATTTAGTATAAATTCACTTACATCTTATGTTTTGTTTAGATATAAAGATGTCTAGTAGCAAGAGTTGAGATACCTTCGGTAAATACCAGTGAAAAACATCATCCAACCACCACCAATCTTTCTCGTGACATTTGACGCGGTTACAATGATTGTGGATGAGAAAGTGTTGTTTTTACTGTGAGAGTAGATTAATTCTTCTACATGAAACTGTTCAAAAAAATCTTTATATGAATATTGACTCAAACCACAATCACACAGGATATTGTAACTGTTTACAAAGAGTATTAGAGAAACAATTTGTTAATATTTTGTTTAAGTTTCAGTAAATAAAAAATATCGTAAACATGAAAAACAAAAGCATTATAAACAATTAATCATAAGTTAGAAAAAAAAAATTAGAATATATATTCAAGTTCAACTTTAAGTTCTTTAATGGTATCAGCCATTAATGGTCATTCTTGAAACATCTCTTTGCAAACGACGTCTATGGTATGTCGACTTTGAAGCCATTGTTATCTCTGCAAATCTTTGCGTAATTCTGGAGATGGAGGTGACTATACAATAAGAGATGGGTATATTATTTATAGAAGAATAACTGAGTAACCAAGGGGGATATATGTGGTTAATTTGAAATATGAAATTAACGTGTGGGGGGAATACGGGATTCCAAATCAATTTCTGATCTTCTTTTCATATTGGGTTTTCTATTGGGAAAATTAACATAAAACCATTGTATTTAATGTTTTATTTTTTTATACCTTTTAAATTTCAAGAAATAAACAATATCCTTAATAAAATAAAATAGAATAGATTAACGTTAGTGTACCAAAATAGATTTGGAGAATGTTTTCCAACAGATTTGACTCCATCAGAAATAGATCGTCTTCTTCATTCCCCTTCTTCCTAAATGTTTTCCAACAATTTAGACCCCTCCCAGCTTCAAAAAAAAATCTTGTGCAAATCTTGAAGATTCAACCTATATTGCAAAAAATCTTTCACACCGATTCTAATTTCTTTCTCATGATCCTCATTTCTTCATCTATGCACCAAAGCATGTCAATTTCTTGAACACAAAAATGATGAACAACATGAAGCAATTACACAAACATCAACGACGAGATGAAGAAATGCCCAATAATCAAACTCCACCATACTCACCCAGATCGCTTAGACATCCATCGTCTTCAAGATCCCTCCATAGATCCGTAAATTACATCTTCAGAGAACAACGATTTCTCTTCATCATCATAGGAATCGGGATCGGTTCCACTTTCTTCATCTTCCAACCATCGTTATCCACCATAACCACTACCACAACGGATACCATTAAATCCCGTGACTTTCCCTCAATGCCCAGACCAATTTCAATCTCCCACCGTGAAAGCACCACCTCTCACCGTCGCCCTGTTAATCATGGGGCAACAGGAAGGGTTCCTGTAAGTGTTGGTCGGAGGAGGATAAGGACGGTGGTGACCGGTGGAGCAGGGTTTGTGGGTAGTCATTTGGTAGATAGATTGATGGCTAGAGGTGATGAAGTGATTGTGGTTGATAATTTTTTTACTGGTAGAAAAGAAAATGTGGTGCACTATTTAGAAAATCCTAGATTTGAATTGATTAGACATGATGTTGTTGAACCCATTTTATTGGAGGTTGATCAAATCTATCATTTAGCTTGCCCTGCTTCTCCTGTTCATTACAAGTATAATCCTATCAAAACCATCATATCCTTTTCTTAATCTTTCTCCATTAAACAAAATTTCTTGAAACAAGAAAAAGAAATGATCAAAGCCATTATTATATCCACAAAACTAATGTTCTATGCACTAAGTTGTCAATTATGTGTTTGTAATCGACTTTTGTAATCCTTTTTTGTTTATGGTGTTTTGTCAAATTGGGTATTGGTTGAGATCCTTAAGCATGATACAAAAAAAGAGATTAACTTGGACTTTTGAGGTTCAACATAGAACTTTTTGGATTTTTTGATTTGGGTTTTATTTTTACAAATTCGGCACTACATTTGTTTATGTTTAAACTCATTTCAAAGTTTAACCTTTGAAGTCAAAGCATGTATTGCTCTTGGTTAGAAGGGGTGTTACTTTATATTAAAAGAAACTTTTTTCATGGATTTATGACTTGTTGGACTTAATGTGGTTTCCGTTGAAGTTTAAAGTATTTGAATTGTCTCCTTAACTCGTACGATTACAAGACAAATGTTATGGGCACCCTAAACATGCTTGGACTTGCCAAAAGAGTCAAGGCAAGGTTCTTGATTACAAGCACTAGTGAGGTTTATGGAGACCCTCTTGAGCATCCTCAAAAGGAAGCGTATTGGGGACATGTAAATCCAATAGGTGGACTTTTTGTTTTATTATCTTCTTATGTTATTTTTTCATTTTTATTCGTTACAAACTTACAATGTTCATGATTACGTAATGTAGGTGTTAGAAGTTGCTATGATGAAGGGAAAAGAACGGCTGAAACATTAACAATGGATTATCATCGAAATGAAGGTGTTGAGGTGATGTTGCATACCGATGATTTTTCGCCCTTTGTTTGTTTAATTTTCGATATTTTTTTTTTTTTGCACATAAATCTTACCCAAACAACACTTGGGTTGTTTCTTTTTTAATTAATTGGATGACTCGAGACCTTTTTTGATTTAATTGAGAAAGAAATGATTTTTGATAGAGAAACTTGAAATAAGACTTTCCCATTAGGTCCTAATTTTTCGCAATTTTGTCATTATTTTTTTTTTCTTCCGTTCTGCAAGTGTCTCGTCATTTTCTAAAATATTTTTGTAAACGTCATCTATCTATACAACTTTAGTTAAGCATGCTTAAAATAGAGTATTATAGTATTTAGCAACTTTTTGCATTTTTAATTTTCTATGCTTTATGCTAGAAAATTCACATTTTTGCAGGTCCGGATTGCACGAATTTTTAACACATATGGTCCTCGAATGTGTCTAGAAGATGGACGTGTCGTTAGCAACTTTATTTCACAGGTAAAAAAAAAAACATTATACAAGTTGTCATATATAATTAGAAAATACTTTTTAGTAAGACAACATCTTGTGTAGGCCATTCGCAAACAACCCATGACTGTTTATGGTGATGGAAAGCAGACACGAAGCTTTCAATACGTTTCAGATTTGGTACGCTATTTCTTCATACAAACACATACTTTTATTTTGTAAAAACATTTTTAAAGTTTATATTCCTACAACTTTTTTGGTTCCTGTTAAATTATACAATTGCTTTGATTTCAGGTTGATGGACTCATGGCTCTCATGGAAGGTGACCATGTTGGACCTTTCAACTTGGGAAATCCAGGAGAGTTCACCATGTTAGAGCTTGCTCAGGTTTGTATTATTTCATCATCATTCCATCATGGAATGAATGCATAATCATAATATAACCCATTTTATTCAAAAAATATATATTTTTATTATTTAGTTTTTTAGTTTTATAAATGCTAAGTAAATATGTTAGTTACATATATATACTATAAAAATATGTATGATATATCATTTCGTTCCTCTAACTTAACCAGAGGGCTAGCCCATTTTGGCCTCTTGTCTTACTCTTTAGACTTTTTCTTTTTTTAGGTGGTGAAAGAAACTATTGATGCAAATGCTTCGATTGAATTCAAAGAGAACACTGCTGATGATCCTCAAAAAAGAAAACCCGATATTAGCAAAGCAAAAGAGCTACTAAATTGGGAGCCCAAAGTAACACTAAGAGAGGGTCTACCACTAATGGCATCAGATTTCAGGGATCGAATCTTGAAAGAAATAGAAGGCGATGATGACAAATAAGAAAAGGGAATATCAGAAACCAACATGTATATATTCAGAAACCATGTATCTACACAGTTTCTTTTTAGTTGTGATATACATCTAGCTACATGATTCTTTTAGGAATGTCGCCATTCTTCCTCTTGATCTGAGGTTGGAGTTGGCGTTAGTTTTTTTTATCATAGATATTTTTTTTGACTCAAATTAACCCCTTTGTATAAATTGCACTAATTTATATAATTTTTATTTGAAGAAACATACTTTTAAAATTAATATTTAGAAGTTGATGTTATAAGTTTATAACAAAAAGAGCCAAAATGAAGAAAAGTAGCAAGGCATCTAATTCTCATTTATCGGAATGAAGGGGAAAGTAGCTTTGTTTCTCCTCTCTTTTGTAGGGTGAAAGACTGAAAGTGTTTTTATATTCCGTGTGTTTGGCATAACATGAATGAGAATTTGTTACTTCTCTTTTGGAATACAATTCCTTCCACGCTTTATTCCTCTACCTAAAAGGTAGAATGTTGTTAGACTTATAAGTTCATGGAATCTGTGAGAGTTTATTGTCACAACTACGTAATTAGAAAAAATCTAGTTTATAATGAGTCATACTCGAATTTTATAAATTTTATAATTAAGGAGCTGCATTGAAAATTAATCGAGTTTTATGAGTCTTATGTATAGATGTTCTAATATTTGTATTCCAAACTCAAATTAAACTTACTTTTATAACACATATTTCTTCTCCGAGCTATCCCAATCAAGCTTGTTTTGTTAAACATAACATATAATTAGCATGATAGATATTTACATATTATTCAAACTCATAAACATTTGAGTTTATCTTGACTCGCTTAATGCAGATTGTACAACATCATCATCACAATATGGTACAAGTTGAATTAATGATACCCTCACCCACAAGTCATGTGAAAAAGATGAACACTACCTAACCTTAACCAAATTGAACCACTAGCTACACCTAACCACATTTCTTAGGTCACTTGGTTTCTTTTTGACAAGATTGCTTGAACTTGAGTCAATCCTTGTAAAGATATGAAACGCAAGACCCGATTGGGCTCGATCTTCTTCTTCTTCTTTTTGGAAAGGGTCAGGCTCGATCTTTGTGTATCGATGTGATGGTTAATTGTTAAAATACAACATATTTTCACTATATTTTTTTAATGATGAACAAATGTAACTTATTTTTCAACTATTTAATATAATAAAGTATCATTTTAGAATTTAAACCATAGAAAATGTAACAAACTTGTATTCCTTTTTACCTTTAATGTAATGCTTACATAATACCAATGTTTTAAAAACCGGTTTGAACCAGCCGGTCGAACCGGTTAGACCGGAAATCGGGGAAGGGGACGGTTCAACTATCACGAGTTTATGTCTATTTCTTAACCAGATTGAACCGGTCGGTTTTTCAAAAATCCGGTTGAATCAGTTCAATTAAACCGGGTGAAACGGTTAAATTGAATAAAAACACATAGAATTGAAACATTTTACATAATAAACTTTGGTGATTTTTTCACATCTATTAAAAATTTTCAGAATAAAAGCACGTGATAAATGTTATGAAGTTTTGTTGATGAATCTATTCATCTAGGACTTTCGTTTTCTTTTTAATGCATGTGGATTGATATAAAATTATGGCTATGTGTTATTTTCGTAGTTCTAAAAAGCACGTCATGGCGCACCCCAAGGTATGCTATGACGCAAGGCATGGTGTAGCTGTTACAAAAACATCCAAGGCGGGTTTATTAAGCATGACGTCCAAATAACATGTCAATGCGCGCCTTATCACGTTATAACATGAGTTTTTTTCAAGACACGGATTTTTTTGTTTTTTTTTTCTTTGTTTTTTTTTATCGGGCCTAAAATAAATGAGTTTTTATTAACTTTTTTCTATTAGATATTAATATAATACTTTTAAAAACTTCATATATATATATATATATATATATATATATATATATATATATATATATATATATATATATATATATATATTTGATAAAATTCAATAATTATATGATTATATATTTTAAAGTATATAATATAGTCACGCATTGAAAAACGTTATGGCTCGCTAAGGCTTGTCATGGCTTAACTTTTACCTTGTCATCAAGCCATGTCTTACGTTATTTAGAACATTTGTTATTTTAATGTATTTAGATTAATCTACAACTTGTTTTCATGTGTATTTTAATGTTTGCACTTATGAATATCAAATTCTTGATTTCTTTATGTATGTATGGGTAGGAAAATATGAAAAAAAATGAAAATTATAAAAACCGGTTTACTTAGCGATTGAACCGGAAACTGCTCATCATACCGGTTCAACTAAAAAATCGATTTTTAAAACATTGCATAGAACACTGGAAATGTTACTTTTTTCATCGAATGAATAAAATTAAATAGAGTGTAATTTTTTTATAAATATGAGTTTTTTTTTTTTGGAAGAAAACAGAAAGATACTTTTTTACACCATGGTTTCATTTTGCTTTTGTTCCCCACATTTAACTCGTGATTATTTACATCCATTAATTAAGTCATGTTGAGGGCTTTTGATATTTTCTTTATTTCTTTCCTTCTCTACATTATAGCTAATTTAGATATTTATAATATCCTAAGCTAGTGTTTTGTTCGTTAGAATCCTTGGAAATTAGAAGGAATTGAAATATAATTCCAAACATTTTCCTATATTTGATTCATATTTAAAAAGGAATTGGATTCCTAAAAAATCCAACTTTTCTTCTATTGAATGAAATGTTTTTCAAATGGAAATATTAAAGATTACCAAATTATATTTTACCCGTCACCACCACTCATCCTTCCGAATATAAAAAGGCGGTGGTGTGAGGTTGTTTAGAATTGGTAGGTAGATGCGGAGGTGGATTGTGAGGTGAATGAGTTTTTGGATTTAAAAACAAAAATTATTTAATCCATAATAATAATAATAATAATAGTTTATGTTTTTTTTTCTCAAAATAATAGTTTGTTTCTAAAAATATTTATTATTAGTTAACTTATTATGAAGTTAAATACAACAAAAAAAAATACAACAAAATAATATAATTATAATTATATTTAATAAAATAATATAATTATCATTATATTTAATAAAATTAATTACTATTATATTTAATAAAATTAATAGTAATTAATGTTTTTTTACGTTCTTATTTGTGACAATAATTTTGGAAAAGATAGTAATATATAGATATGGATGACCTTTTACATCGACTAGGATTGAAACTAAAGTTCGTAGGACGACATTTAACCCCTTCATTTATTCTTAGACCAATTATTCATAAAAGCTAGGACACTAATGAAAGGTGTTTCATATATTCTGTCCTTCTCAAGCTTCAATTCACCACCCATATTATGATGGATTCCATTGTTCTTGAAGAACCTTCCTCCTCCATCGCCTATGGTGGCAGCGGCCGAGCAATAGACCGTCACAACCCCATCATTAGAGATGAAAAAAGACTCGGTCAAGGACGTATCTTTCCTTCTAGTCCCGCCTCCACCACCGTGGACAACCACCACCAAAACCTGAAGCCAGATGCGGAAGCCGGTGATCAGAAAAGAAAGAGTATTGCGTTTGCTTATGGTAATGGTGATTCTATCAGCTCAGCAAGTTCTTCAAGGTGCTTGTTGAGTGACAGACCCACGTTTAATTTCTCATCGGACTTTCACGAGGTTCTACCGCCACCACCATCACCGCCACTTGAACCACTCAAATTTGATCAATACAGAAAATCTTTGAAGAAAGACGATGATTTACTCTGCTCTCCTCCACCTACACAACAACCACCACCGTCGCCGCCACCTTATGAAGCTCTTAGCTTTCTTAACCTTGATGATGATTCACCGACTTCTTCTCCTCCTAAACCACCGTTGTCTCCGCCACCACCTCATGAATCGCTAAAGCTTCATAATCGCAAAGCTTCAGACAAGAAACACCTTGATCAACCAACACCCTCTTCCGTCCATAAGCTATCTTCACCACCATCTTCCTCTTCCGATCAGGTAGTTGTCTTGGAGGTCTCACTGCACTGCAGGGGTTGCGAAAGAAAAATGAAGAAACATATCTCCAAAATCGAAGGTATTATATATACTTATTATTGATAAAATATAACGACATCTTCTTCTTTTTCATTTTCTTAAAGAAAAATTCATATATTTCAGGGGTAACTTCGTTCAAAATTGAATTTGCGGCCAAGAAGGTGACGGTGGTCGGAGATGTAACGCCGCTGGCAGTTCTGACCAGCGTGCTAAAGGTCAAAAACGCGAAACTGTTGACTCCAGTAACAATATCATCATCTTCTCCAATTGAGCCTTCACACCTCACGAAATAGAATATATTCTGATAGAATTTTTGTTTGGAATAAATATTCTACACCATCCTTTATGAGTTGAGTTGCAATATTTTTCTATTTTACGTCACCTGCTGTTAATGTTTATCATGTAAAGTATTGGGTCGGTTACCTCGGTTTTAAAACGTATTATTTTCAGTTTTAAGGATGTTAATTTTAGAATTTCGTAAAGTAAAATATTTCACCTTAATAAATAAGAATATAAGGATAAGGAAAATGATAATGAATTTTTTTTGGACAAACCTTCGATTCGTTATTTAATTATTTGTTTTTTTATGTTTACTTCTTTTGCCTCGGTACATGTAATATATTTATTAACTAGGTTAAAACTTGTGAAAACCACGGGTGATAAAAAAAAATATTGATGATTAAAAATAATTATAAAACATCAAATTTTTATTAAAATTTTATTAAATATAAAGATTGGTTCAATACATATCGATTAAAAGCAAACAGGCAACAAGCTGTACCGCTAGCCCTTTCTGGATGGCAAAACCAATTCTTTTGAAAACAATATTTGTGGATCTAGGAGATATGGCGGTAGAATGCATGACCCGTTGGACTTTATAAAATGTAAAAAAAAAAAAAAAAAAAAAAAAAAAAAAAGACAATCCGTCATGCAAATGACAT